ATAAACACAACAGAACTGTATTTGCATTGTCTCGTGGAGTTCTTTGGGCTGAACCTGACATCAATCTCACCAAAGAACTCCACGAGACAATGCAAATACAGTTCTGTTGCATTTATTAGTTTCCACCTCAAGACAGAATCTCACCAGACTGAACCCAAGTTCCCAGCCAGCCAGCCACTTCGTGAATTCCTTAGGGAGGTGCCAGCCTCATCTTTTTGAACTTCCCACGCTCCTGTTGGGGGCTAAGAACACGCTTATCTCCCTGAGCATGGCCTTCATAAGTCCATTCCATCACATCACTCTACCCATTGGGAAAGTGGTCTGGAGGTGTGTGTGGTTTTTTCTTCCTGTAGAAATAGATTCTCACAGGGCAGATTCATTTCTCCAGACACCCTCTCCCACTCCCCTGGAAGATAGCAGGAACAACCCTAGTCTCTTCTGTAATGCTTTTCTGAAAACTCCCATTGCCCACACATTTGATTCAACACAGCTATTTTCTCTAGGTGATATGCTTCATCCTTGCTTGACAATGAAAACTGAATTCCTTGGATGAGACTTATATCCTATAATATGCAGAAGATCCAATGGAGAGCCCTGTGACTGTTGTTGGAGTACAACCCTGATGATCATCCAACTTAATGATATGAGTTGAAGACCCACCATATTTGAAGACTTAACCTTAGGAACCACTGCTCTAAAAGACTGAAAATACTTTTTATACCATGGTCTTAGGTTCTAAGATTTTGCCAGTGGGGGAGCAAAACTGGTGACTTTTTTTTAGCACAAGGCACAACTATTACTAGAAGTCATAATAAGGTACAAATGAAAATGAACATGTTTTGCACTTTGGTAATACTCAGGGAATACAGTCTTCGTATTTATACTTTAAATTAATAAAGGGTATTAAATCTCTTTAAAATTAGAACAAGTAAATGGTTGTCTCCAGCCTTCCCCAACCTGGCACTTTTCAGATGTATTATAGCAGAACACACATTAGCAACATACCAATTGTACATAACGGAAAGTGTAGTTCAATACAACTGTGGGTGCTAATTTGGGGAAGGCAGTCTTATTCATTTACCTACATACATTCTATGAGCCTTCGCAGACAATTTGGTTGCCTTTGTCAGGACAGCCTTTTTCATGGAATGAGTGAGCCCCAAAACACAGGCTTTCTTTCATAACTTCAGTACATTCACCCTAAGCCCAGTAGAAAGCTTTTATGACCCAATTTCTAAAATTTCTAAAAGAAAACAAAAATATCTATCTAGGCTCAAGTCCATCAAGGAGAATTGCATTGGGCATATGTTTTAGGATTGACTCACTGGGAGAATTGCATTGGGCATATGTTTTAGGATTGAGCCCTGGTATCAGTAAAGAATAAATGCACAACTACTAAAGGCTGTTGATTTGAAGTACTCAGCTGAAGCTTTTCCATTTGTCTTAGGTCCAGGAAATCAAATTCAGGTTAGTCTAAGCAATTTCAAGTCTTTATTCTACCCCTGTAGCCTAATTATTCAGAAGCATGGACAAATGTAGCCACCACCAGAGTGGTCTATGCGCTCAGTGAAATCAAAGGGAATGTACCATTTCGGCATCTTCAGCCTGTTTCTGTTTCTCTTCCTTCTCCCTGTTATAAAAAGAAGGAAAAGTTAAATAACAAACTTGGGCACAAAAGACAAGACTTAATTTCAAAGTTCACATTGCCACTTACAGTTTGGCCTTTGCTTTTGCTTCCAATTTATTCCTTTTCTTCTCATCATTCTTCTTGGCAAAGTAATCTTCTCTGCACACAATATAATCTAGTTAAGCATATGCATTTGGGACTACTACTGAAATGTAAAGTAATATCAATCCTTCAGGCCACAATCTGAAGAACATTAATTAGCATTAACACCCAGCCTTAGTTTAGCTGGCAACTGGTACTAATTACTACTGACAGTCTGGCCTTAATCTGCAAATAAAGTACTTATTTTGCCTTATCATCTGAGTCCCTAAAACTGAGGTGGAGAACCAAGGTCCTACAATTCCAAGCAGCCTCAGCCAGCAGACCCAAGGCAAGGGGATGCTAGGAGTTGATGTTCAACACCTAGAAGTCCACAAATTTCCTTCCATTACCCTAAAACAGAAGTAGGTTCTTCCTACTCCCTTTTTTCACACTAAGAAGAATTAATAGTACATATACATGTGTTTTTCAAAACTGGTACTGAAAATCAGTGGATTGAGCCAGAGGAAAGGGTCAAAGAAAACTAGATGGCATTTACTGATGTCTTAAAGGGTGGAGGGATCCATAGCAATAGTTCTGCCAAGCAGTATACAATCTGGTGATTGGGTCCTTGAGTACGGGTAGAAAACTTTTCCTTGGAGAAAAGAGAAGGAAGCACAATAAAGACTAAATACTCTTCCTACTGACGGCAACAAATAGGAAACACTCCTGCACCAAAGGCAATTTTGTCACATGAATATACATGGCAGATCATATACACAATTGCTTTCCTAGGAGGCAAAGCAAGAGTGAAAGACAGAGTTTTTGTCCTTTTCTAAATGGAAACACGTGCATATTTGTCTGGCAGATTAGGATGAGGCTATTTTGAAATTATTAGTTTTCCTCATTTACTAGAAATGTTTTTCTACTCTCAGCAATGATATTGTCTTACATTTTGTTAAAATCTTGGTATCATACCATTTTCCTCCCAAGCTTTTTTATGTTTGTATAACGTTAGTATTTTTTTAAAAAAGATTTGTATGAGAACAAGAAACCACAATGAAACTTAAACTGGAAATCAAGACTGAAATTCTTATTCAGTAAATGAGGTAATTGACTGACCCAGAGTCACTTATTCATTCACGATCACAAAATGCCATGGATTTTCTATCAAGGTCAAATTAAGAATAAAAAATCAGTATCTGAAAGGAAACTGGAGAGGTTCTGTGACCTCAACTAACTCAAAACCTCTCAGTTTAGATCTTCTCCTTTTACCACAGTTTGAGAGATGAGGAGGTTCAAAAGAAAGAGAAGTTGAAAAAAAATAGGTGTCCTCATCCATGTCTACTACATGGTCCTCAATAGATTCTCCTGAGGGAAGATGGTCCTCAAAAGAAAAAAGACTGCCACCCCAATGTGTCAGATAATGGACTAACAGACTCTGTTTAGTAGCATACTCTTGCATAACTGCCTCCATTTTTTGTGGGTATTTGGCGGAAAGACGAGAGCTTCAGAAACAAAGTATGTGCTTTAAGCTTTGCAGAAATGTATGGCACCCACCGCGCCCCCTAAATCCCCTCCCACAAAATCAAGACCGCCCTTTTTAATTTTCAGGGACAAAATGGATACCTTCAGGTCAAGACTTAAGCTATCAAATTCCCTCCTTAAAACTTTGTCTAATCCCCCAAAATGCAAATTCTCAGGCTTTGAGTCCGACTTCTCTAGTGACTTTTCTCTTCCACCTGCTTTTCTATTTGTTTTAAAAAAAAAAGGGGGGGGGAGGCTGCAGTGTTTGCTTTATAAGCAGAAGGTGTAACACCAAAGAATGTCACCATGCCTTTTACTGATGCAAGAAAAAAACTCCAACTTATTGAGGGAAAGAAAGTATGTTATCAAAACCCCACACAATAACACTGTAAAATAAAAAGAATAACATGATTTTAAAAACAAGTCTTGAAGACAAAATAAGTGGCCTTGCCACCACAAAACTTGATGTAACAGAACCAAGAAAAGTTGGCCACCCCTCCTGTAGAAGGTGACCGTTCCTCTTGCCAGTCAGAAGCCTCACATGAAGCTTATGTCAAAGCTCAAAAGCAGAAGTGAAATCATACTTACTTGAAGAGCACAATCAGCTCTGTGTCGTTGTACCTTTGGTTTGGCGTCCCAACAAACTCCTTGGCAGATTCAACACTATCAAATACAGCAAATATGGATCCCTGGATTAAAGAAAAGTAGAATTGAATCCGATCTTGGGATCTGATACAGCCTCAGGAAATTTAGAGCTAACAGAATTCTGTTTAAAGATATTACCTTAAATGTTTTCTGAAGTGTTCTCCTCATCTGAATGTTTTCTACCTTGCCTTTACAATCCAGCCATTCTTTGATATCATCTAAAGTTGCATCTAATGGAAAACCTTTCTGAAAAATGAAAATTTAAATAATTCTCATATTCAAGTTCAGTGTTTTACACATCTATGCAGTGCAGAAAAAAAGTTCCATTATTATATGGAAGCAATGAGTTCTTTTAATGGAGTATTGTTCCACTATAATCAACTACTGAATTTGTGGGTAAATAATGAACACAGAGCAGAAGACATGCAACTTCCAGCAATCAGGAGGAGGGCTTCAGATTTAAATAAAATTCATGGCTAACAAAAACAAAACTTTCAGCAACAGTAACAAATACTGTATACTGAAGACCAAGGGAGGTCTGCTTGACAGGGAAAATGGAGTGATTACAAGTTAGGCCAAAAAATTAAAGTATCTTAGTAGAAGGTGTATCTTTACTAAAGATGGGAAAACGGATAGAGGAACTAAGACATGCAATGGTAAAAGGGTAATATGATATCTATGCCAAGAAGTGAAAATGCCTGTTTGTAAGAAAGTGCTTCTTGCTACTATCTTACAGGGTAATGAGGGCTGTTACGTCAGGAGAAACATAAAAGTTAAATATGGGGGAATGAGTTACTTAACAAATGTGCGTGGTAAAACAAGAGATAAGGTCAAAATGAATGGATGATGAACAAATGTGGATTGCACAGAAAAGTACTTAGAGGTGGTTTGGTCAGATAGAGAAAATGAAAGATCAAAATCCAGCAAAGCATGCATATGAAGTATGAATAGGTCACAAGGAAGGGGAAGACCAAGAAAGAATGATTAGAGCTGATGAAATCCTCAAAAAAAAAAAAAGCGAGATGAGGTTTAAAGAAAAGTCAATATATGAAGTGGTGTATGAATGTGATGAAAGCAAAGATGGGTTACAAGAACAGAAAGGTACAGAGAGATACAGCGAAGTGTCCAAATAAACTAAATGTTTCCTTTTATTTTTTGCCTTAAGTCCTCACTCCTTCTGCGCTTTACATAGCATTGCTTACCCTGAAAGAAATAGCGTGATAGGTATGTATGTACGCATGAATACATCAAGCTAAACAATTTGGATCCTTTTCCTAATACATAATACAGAAGCCCAGAAAATAATTATTTTTCAGCATGACTTTAGATTATTATGATTGTAGTAATTCTGTACAGAATTCTTGACAATCTGAGGTCCCCTCAAAACACATTAGGTTCTTTGCTGAAAGACAGGACAGTTTTATGATAGCAGGCAAGCTATCAGGAGTCATGTGAGTTTCTGAAAAAGAGAAGTGTATTCTTAATTTACAAGGCACAACAGTGAAGCCCAACAGATCTCACCACATATGAACTAAATATGCTCCTCAGAATCCTTTGGATATTCTCGGCACCAGTAAACAGAAAACCCTGATGGAAAAGACTGATTCTGACATATCAGATCTGAAATTCACTGTATTCTAATATCATCATTCCACTTACAATATATACAGATCTGCTTTTAATTGCATTCTTATATTGTTCAGTAACTTCAGGCAATGGTTTGTTTGGAGATCTTCGGATTTTAGTCTTATCTTCACTAACTTCCATAAGTTCAGTCTTCGATTTTTTTAATGCCCCCACTATTACATCGAAGTCTTTTGTAAGGCGATTTAGCCTACAAAATGGAAGATAAAGAAGTTATTTGTTTAGTTGCCTCAGTTACAAGTCATCTATATATAATTTGGCATTTAAATGAAATTTATGCAGTCTCATAAAACAGAAAGCACAAACATCTATCAAATATGCTGGTTTAAATTGTAAGAAAACTTCAGCGTAAAGAAATTCATGGATTGACATTTTGTTGCCTTTTTTCTACTGCCACCAGCTTTCCCAGAATTAGACCATTCACCTTTCCATTAGCAGCCTTCTGCATCCTAGTTCAAATTGTTCCAGAAAGCTACCTGTCCCCTCCATGAGTTTCCTTAAATAGATTGACTTTAAAATCAAAACCACAAGAAGTAAAAACTCACACTTTTACATAAACCAACAAAGGACATACATCTTTTGAGATCTATAAATACAAATGTCACAAGAGTTCTGTATTTATGATTGTAGAAATATATGTGAAATATATCAAATGTAGACATTTCTTTCCATGCCATGTAAAAACCCACTGATTATATCCTTCCTTCCTGAAAGGTCTCACTGTCTTGAAATAAATGTCCTCATTCCATGCATGGAAAAGAGCTATCCATGTGTGCAAAAAGAGCCAGAACAAAAATCTGCTTTAACAAGGGCTCCCCTCTGTGGATATAGCTGTTTTAAGAAGACACAGGGGGTATATGACCAGATATTCCAAATTATGCAGCAGAACAACATTAAAAAGTAAAAACTGCCAATCTGAATTGCTATGGCAACTAATAAACATGCATCTGCTCAGTCAATAACCAGATTTATGTGATGAAAAGCGATATTTTTCATTGGGATTTAAAATCCAATCCAGTCTAGAAGACAGGCTTACTATAAAATAGGAGAAGTTTTTCTTTTCCTTATGAAACTATGAGCCCACTATTAGTATTACCTATTGAATTTGATTATTGTTTCTAAAGTCACCCAGCCATCATCCGATTTGATCTTCTCTTGAAGAAACTTGTCCCGGGGTAAGTTGTGATCACCAAAGTAGTACTATGAAATAAATTAGAATAATGCAAACTCAAATTACGATACTAACAATTACCCAGTTCTAAGTTTCCTTACTGCAAAAAGCTCTTTATCTGTACCAGTAGTCCTCACTTACCAACCACTCGTTCAACAATCATTTGAAGTTATGACGGCACTGAAAAAGAAGACTTACAACCGGTCCTCAAAGTTGCAGCCATCGCAACATCCCCACAGTCATGATTTGGGCACTTGGCAACTGGCAAGCATTTATGACAGTCACAACCTCCCACAGTCATGTGATCACCATTTGTGACCTTCACAGCCAGCTTCCAACAAGCAAAGTAAATGGGGAAGCTGGCAGGAATTTGCAAGTTTGTTTGTTTGTTTGTTTATTTATTTATTTGATAAACTTGTCCCCCCCCCCCTCTCCACCCCCCTGCGGCGCGCGCGGGGCTGGGTCCTACAAAAATACATAAAAAAATCAAAAAAAAAAAAAAAAAAAA